CAACCTACACATATCTACTACAGCTCTTACTTGAAGGAGTCCCCCCCATGGCCGCACATCAACCGGTCCCGATCCGGTCCCCTGGTCCCGTCCCACGCTCTCCCACGCATATCAACTCCGAAACTCGGTGATCAGCACGGGCCCTGGGCAGCCCGGGCGGCATGGTTTGGTTCCAGGTGATCAGCAAAAAGCTGAGCCTCGGGATGCAGGGCTCGTAGGGTCCACGAGTCCACGAGGAGGATGAGGTCCACACGCTGCAAAGGTTACAGGCCAAGCAACAAACAGTTGACTGGCAGGTTGACTTCGGAAAGTTGGGTATGTTTTGGGTGTATAGGATATGGATAGCTAGGTTATATGTTATATCATCTTTAAAACCAGCCTATGAAATACTGTACCATTTCCCTCCACAAAACCAAAGGCTTAACCCCAAAACACCCACAAATGAACAGGAGACCAACGGGACCAGCGGGCCCATGCGGGGGGCGGGGGCATGCGTTCAATACACCCATCCGAACTCGTCCTCCCAAGTTCTTTCCCAAACGCTCCACGAGTGAACTGAACGTGTATGCCGCATGCCTCCGACCCCGTATATAACACACACACACATGCCAGTCTCTGTTTGAGTCGAACTGTGAAGCATCCCAAATTGTCCATCATGGGTCATGACAGAGTCATGCGGGTCACCACCTTGACTTGACTCTCCAACATGGATGCCCCAAAACCACCATAGCGACTGATATTGGCCGGCTGATCTTTGAAAAAGCTGCCTGGTGAGGCCTTTCCCAATCTTTCCCATACTATCGTCAATGAAGAATTCTGAAGTAGAGATGAAACTGTTTGCACCAAAACACCCAATCAAATCACCGAGCACCCGCAAGTACTTCTTCCGAGAGCGTGCCACCCTCCATTGCCCCATCCATCGCCCAAGAAACCATCCACCGATCAAGCCGCACAAACACCCAGACCTTGGAGAAATCGCTCCGGAAAACAAACGACACAAAAAATGACAGGTACATTGGATTGGTGGAACCGGTTGTTTGCCATACACTTTCCAGACATGGAGGGTCTGGTTGGACTAATTTCAGAGTAGATACATGTCCAAATTTGGTCGTTTAGATGGACGAGCCTGCGGATGTTGGCTCTTTGGATACGATCTGGGCAGTACATGCTCAAAGCAAACGCATCTAGCTGTCATTGTAAACTTTCGCAGCTAGTGTTACCAAAGGCTTCAACTTCATGGACTCATGGCAAAGACAGTCAATGACATCTCTTCATTCTTGAAATTGTGAACATACTTGTCATCACTGTTGTCTCGGTCACCTTCAGAACCACCGGTTTCTAGAAATCACTGATGTCGTGCCCATTACTGGGTCAATCTTCCTCATCTCTTCGTGAGAGCTGACAGATTGCCATTCAACACATCGACACTCTCATTCGTGAAAACAAGTCTCGAAGCCGCATTATGAAAGCTCGAATTTATAGCTTCTTTATGTGCCCACCAGCCGTAATATGGTCTCTCAAGCGAAAAGACATCAGACTTAGTAAGCAAGGCGACAACACAATGACTTGGTGGCGGCAAAGTCTGACAAACGACTGTAGATCTGAGTCTCGTGTAGAGATGATCAGCTACTCACTGAATCACCCTGACACAAACCTCAGGTCACATTCCAACGTCCACGTGAAGGAGAAAAGTTGACTCTTGATGAATAAAGCCACCCATATTCGATCAAGAGTCGATCTACAATTTATATCAATTATATATGGTTTGTATAGACGAGCTTGGTCTTTCACGAGTCCAGGGTGTTGGGTTTGGTGCATCTCGTCTTGTAGGAAACGACTCCGTTTCTGCAGGCGCCTAAGGACACACCAGTGTTCGTTGCACGACCCTCCACGATCGACCCTCAATGGCTTACACTCCGACCGTCGGTGAACAACAAGTAAGTTGTTGTACATCCTTCGTAATATAAAACATTATCTTAGAGTAAATATGCAAATACAAGCAAATCAATTCCAACAAAAACTATTGAAGCTAAGTAGGGATGCCATTGCTTCCACCAACCTTCACCCCTCCATCCATCTGCTACCAATATCTACCAATCAATAATCACACCCATCTACACCCCATCCAATCCCCCATCTCCGTCTGCTTCACACCTGGGTCATCCCGGACGAGCCCACACCCAACACCGCGGGGTGCAGCACCTGAGCGTCTTCGTTCTTCAGAACGGGCTCCCAATGAACGAGGGACGGACGGACGGACGGAGGAGACGTTTGGGGGTTGGATGGTTGGGAATAATAGGGAAAACCCTCCACCAAGGGGTTCTATGAGGTTGTATGGTCTATGTTCCAAACTGTCCAGGGGATCAACTGGGGCCCAATACTCAGCCATTTCCCACCGGCATCGAAGGACCAGGCCTTGCACTGCGCTTCTTGGATCGTTCCGGGCTTCTGTCAAACACGGCTTTTGGGGTGTCCCACCTCGAGCGTCGAGCATTTTTGTTGGATTTATACGTGTGTTGAAAGAACTCTTGGCTCCGGTGAAACAAACATAGACTCTCGCAGCCCCCCTGAACAGGCTGGCTGGAATGGATGCTCGTGGAGTCCCCGCAAAGGCTTCTTTTGCAACCAAGCATGGTTTTAAATAGAGCTGTGTAATATGACTGTCCCTCACAGGAGTGCAGCATCCTGAAGGGGAACCTCAAGCGAACCTGATATGAGCTTGCTCGGGTATTCTGGTGTACTAGCTTAATTCTAGAAGTCCTTTTGCTTAAGGGACATGTCACACATGACAAACACAAGATCATTCTGCCCTTTTCCAGACCATGAGACTGGAATAGTTGCCTACATTGACCCCATGGATGACCCCAATGTAAGTACACCATAGTACAGAGACCTACATGGAACCTGATGGCATGCACCTCCTGCAAGGAAAACTGGTCGCTTCCTCCACAACTCAGTGGTTTTCAGGTTCCGGTCTCTTGAACAAAATCTATTTTGCCCGGGCTGGACACCATTCGGCTCAACCTATCCAACCCCCTCCACTCGTTCCCGGTGCCCCCACGCAGCTCAGCAGGTTGGCATAGATTCCGGAGGAAAAGTAGATCAACAGCCAGGCCTCGAAAAACTGAAAGCGACTCGGATGGTCGGACCGAGAGGCAAGGTGAGCTCTATAGAGAATACGCACAGCACACGTGATGTAGGCCATTCACCTTATACTGCATCACAATGTAGGCCACTCACCTTATTGCTCAATAGGTTTGCCGAACTTCTGCCCCATATCTGTCGACACAACAAAACATCAAACCTTGGATCTATTCGACAATTATGATATAAAATTTTGATGCACAAACTTTTGTTTTCAGCACATCCCCCCCAGACGCGGCGTGAACCGTACGGCAATACTTTGACTTTTCCCGCGATCTGAACTAGGCGGCAAAACCCTGGAAAAAAACGACGCCTTTTGGCACACGGACGGGGGGACACCCGAAATAATTGCTTTACTCCTGCTTGAGGTTCATGAAACCGGTCCAATGGACAATTTCCCCAAAAGTATCTCCGCACTTCATCGCTTCGGTCTAGCCATTGATCATCTTGATCCCCACCTGGTCCTGATATACTGATATGGTTGTGCGTCTGTGCATCAAAACCAGCATAATTACATTGGTAACACGACTTGTGGACACTCTCTGGGCGCTCCCCATGCATCCCTTGCGGTGTTGCACCCCGGGTTTGAAGGGGGTGAACAAAACGATGAAAGTGAGATAAATGGAGAGAAACAGCAACATGAATTATGCAGGAGTCCACCCGACATGAATCAAAATTAAGACTTGAACAGTAACCTGCTGTCATATCCATTTGCAACCATCGATCGTCAGCGGGTGGTATCTTCTTCCAAATTTGTTTTGTCGTTACACCGTTACACTATCTAAAATGTCTACCTGTGTTCCTTTTCGGTGACGGGTCGGGCCATGGACAACATGGTCCCAGGCTGTTGTTTTTTGGAGACTTTTGATAAAATCTTGACGCAAATCAATGAGTAGTCCTCCCTGTCCCGTGACCTGAACATTTGCCGAGAGTTGCCGGGATACTGCTTTCAAACTGGTTGTTGGATCATACGCGAACATTGTTCGAACTGCAAATGCCTGCCTATGATTTCCTACCAATACGTTGGTTGCTGCACGTCTGAGCCGAGCTTAACAAAGAGCTTATCATTAATTTGTTGTGCTTCAGTTCCAAAGAATATTGCTGGCCAAACTGCTGTCTGAATTATTCGTCCTTTAATCTGTAGATCGAGGCTCAGCTTTTGCAATCTTTCAAAACGAACTGGTGGTGATCTTGGACGCGCTCCAATTTCGTGACAGGTGCGGTGAATCGTGACTTTTCTACATGTGGCAGGTTTTCAGAATTCGTGGCATGCGCAGCACTTTGTGGACCTTGCAAGAAGCGCAGATTTCGTGGCACGTTCGGAGGTGGCCATGAACGTCCAATCGTCCGCATAGGCAAATTTTGGGCTGGAAAGCTTATGATAGAAGACATAGCTACTGGACAGCATTTCTACGACTGAGAGGGCGTCGCCTTCGGGTAAGCCGGTCGTGGATCCAAGCGGTTTTCCAAGTTTCTGGCCTATCTGTATTGTTAAGCGCCTGCTTTGCAATGATTGAAGCCAGAAGTTGGTTATCTGATGACTGCCGCCCAAGTGATTTAAAACAGCAAATTGGACGCTTTTATCAAGTCGAGTGCCGGCCCGCACCTTGTACAGTATTATGTGATGAGAGGTCGCGGGCTGACGGTCCCGGCAGCCCTCCGGATATACACATTGGCCATCGGGTTGACCATGTTTGTAGAAGTTGGTTTGCCACTAACTTGGATGTAATATGTGGGATGTAACCGAGGATCATGACTGAAGAGTCAATTTACCTCAGGCCTTGTCCGCTTGCTTAGCGCTTCGCTCAGCCAGCGTCGACACCGCCAAGCATCCAGCATCGCCAACCATAGACACCGCCTCGGACTGGATATGGAGGAATCCCTGATTGCACCTTGTCTCTCCTGGACTCCTGGCCTAGGCTGGTGGCAGGAGGTGGGGCAAACCAGGATGGATGTGGGCCTGGAATCACCTACAACTCTAGTCGTCCATGTGACAGGTGCACTGGTCGACTGTGTGCGTCTCTGCCGGCTTCGCCTGGTGGCTCAGGCTGAACAGGCGTCTGAGCCATCTGAGCCTGTTGAGTTTCGGCTGCATTGGACCCACTGATTTTTGGATGTTTTCATGCAAATTTGGTGCATCTTCAACCACCGTCTTCAACTAACCAAGGTTGCAGTGGATGATGATTCTGACGAAGAAGACGGGCTTCAAGATCAGCCAAAAGCAGGAAGCCTAGCAACGCTTCAAAGTATTGTGGGTAGCAGCATCATGTAGAATGAAATGTTCTTAGCTGTCCACTGTGAGATTCTCCAAGCGTTGAAAGAAGCAGCCAGCTCCGAAGAAAAGGCCGATCCCAAGCAGTGTACCTGGGTTCATGTGCCTGATTGTCATTGCGTGGACATGGGCCATACCAAGGAAGCTGAGAGCTCGAAGCGCTCAAAGAAGCCTCCTTTGCCTTTGCCGAAGGCAACTTCACCATTGTTTTGATTGTCACTGTCACTGTGTGATCTAGTTTCATTTTGTCCTGCTCACTCTCAGGATTGTGATCTCAGCGACATCAAGGACACTACATGGGGTGCACCACTGATCCTTCCCTTGCAAAGAGAACTTCATTCAAAAAATTGCGACACCACACATCCTTGTTTTTTTGGACACTTTCTTCCAGCGATTCTGATTTGGGTCGCAAATTGATGACAAACCCCTATGGCTGGGCGGATCCTTCAACTACAAGGAGCTGACGAATAGATCTTCTGGTGGCCCGTGGGTGATCCTGAATTGCCAATGTGACCAGTAGCTTGGCAGCCTTTCTCCATAGATTGATTGACCTGTTTTCATTGTAACGCTGACTTGAACCTGTTTTCATTGCTGTGTGGGGGGGCACTGCTGAGGCATCACGATAAAGCTTTGCAGATGGTTCCTGACGGATGCTCCTTGCACTTCACCAACCCAAACTGGGGGCAAGTGTGGTGGGCATTGGTGGAGGCGATGAGGGTATGCATGGAAGCATTGCGCTCTGGAGGAGCAATTGTGGTGCACTGCAATGCTGGCCGGCACAGGGCGCCACAGGTATGCTCGGCTATCTTGATGGGCCTTGACCAGATATCCTACAGCGAAGCTGCTCCTTGGCCAATTGGTCATTGTGCGATATTGTGTGTTGTCATTGTGTGATATTGTGTCTTTGCTCCCTGACTAGAATTGTTGGAACCTGAGGTTGGCATCGTCAAAGCCTATCGTCTTCAGGAAGAGTTCTGGAGAGCGCAACTTGATTGCACATCTTACATCATATAGTTTGTGTCAGTGCAATTATTTGCTATTCCGCTTGTCTTTTTCATTAATACACAATTCCTTTGGCTGAGGAGATGGCCCGGAGAGCGTGATCGCTTCAAGGAGGCAACGCAGAGCTCGGCGAAGGTGAAGGAAATTCACCAGATCTTCGCCGGGTGAAGTGGTGAAAAAAATTCTCTGCGCGGCCATTGCAGCAAGAGGTCTTACCACATCATTCATATAAGTCAACGCACCGACATTTAGCAGTTGTTCAATTCTTCAATGCTTGTTGGCTGTTACAACTGTTTTCAAACTATTGACGATCAGGTCATGCGTCCGCCTGGCTTCAATGTTCCAGCCTCAGGACAGGATAGTTCAGTCGTAAAGACACTGATCAGTTCAGAGCTAACAAGTTGTGAGTTCGCATCAGCAAGCTGTTGGTCTTTTTTCAAACATAGTCGCAGTGTGAGGGTTTCCTCACTTTCGATCTTTCTTCACGGTCTTTGACTTGCTCTTGCTCTTCTGGGGCTGCACATCCGTCAACCATTCCAGTGGCTCCAACTTCATGGCGATGACCGGGCCAGCGTACTTCTTCCCAAGGTTCATGCAACAATCCTAAGTTGAAAACACATTGAAACAACACCCATTTTTTCTCAGAACATTCTGAACTTAAACTTGATCTCAATTTATGCTTTCAAACTGCAGTTGAGATTCCAACGCATCTTCCAATGACAAGCCCGGCAGGACCACATCCACCCCCACTGTCTTCAAACACTCGGACAAGTTGGCGAAGCATTGCGAATGGACGAGGCGTGTGACAAGCCTCTCATCTTTGTACCAATGCCATTTGATCACTTGATTGTGAGCGATGCTTGTCCACATCTTTGTCGCTGGACGGATTTCAAACACCTTTGTACCCTTGTAGATGTCCTTCGCATAGCATTTCTTAATCGTGAAAGTCTTGGCGGTCATGGAGGACGCAATGCGATGGCAATGCGATGCCGGGTTGCTGGCGGGGGGCTTGGGCCACAAGCAGTGACTCGGTCATTTGTTGCCATGTTGAATGGTCTTGGAAACGACCCAGTCAAGAGGTCGCTCAAGTTCATGACATCCTTGATATCGAGTGAGCCTTAAGTAGCCTCTGCCATTTGAACTCTTCCTCTAGTTCGTGCTCAAGGAATCGTGGTGTCCAGTCTTCCATTGACACATTAGCGCTCCCTTCCCTGCACCATCTTGACCAAGTCTCCTGGAGCGCTTGCTTCCATGCCAGGTTCAGCAACCCTCAGTTTCATAGTGAATGTGATGGGGATTGGGTGCCCTGAAAAATGACGAGGGAGATACAGGATGGCTGGGTAATATACCACAGCACAGTGTGGACTCATGATGCATTCCACAGCCTATCACTTTCCAACTCACTCATTCGCTATTCCAATCTGCTCTTGGATGCAAAGGAGCACCTGCAAGACCCACCCAAGACCCAATTTCACCAGTGGCGTATGCATCTGCCAAAGGGCCCAGGATGTACAAGGAGGCACGATCGAGTCTGTAGTCACCAATGCCATGCTTTGTGCAAAGAATTGTGAGCCACTGGCGACAACCTCCTTCGCAGCAGCGTAAGGAGCCTGGCAAATCCAGACTCTCCTCGATTGCTCTTTTTTCAATAGATAGATCTACTTTAAAAAAACATTTTCAATAGCCATTGAACACATACTTTTCCAGAGATTTTGTCAATAGAACATGTTGTCTAGGTGTCTCCTATTACAAAATGACAAAATCCTATTGAAAAGTCTTTGCCAACATATATAGCACTTTCCTGTTGATTTTTGTTGACAAATTTCTATTGAAATTTATTGACAAGTTCTATGGAAATTGGCTGATAGTGTCTATTGATGTTTCTTCCCTGACACACACGCACATGTCATATTCCTTGATGGCTGGATACAGGAACCTTCCCTCAGTCATCCCTTGACACTGTTTCAATGCCAAATCACCATGGCAATGCTGTTTCCAAGAAGTCATCCCCCAGTCACCACGGGAGCCAACCCCAATGGAAGCTGATACCCAAACAACTCTTGGCGTAACCTGTCCAAGTCCACAGGTGTTCCATTGCGAACTGCACTGGCAAGCCTGGAAATGACTGTGTTGTTTCCTGTACTTGTCTCGCATGTATGTGGAAAATTCCTTGTGAACTGCTTGCAGGACCCACTACAGAATAAGAAATTCATTGCTTCAGCAGGCATTATTAAACCCTTATGAGTTGCCAGTACAGCGTTAAAACACCTTTCGATGAGAGCCCCAGCATACAACCTAAAAGTAGGTCCCTTTCCAAACAACAGAGTTAGCTTGTGTTCGCGAAAAAGAGACGACTTTCCACAGAGCCTTCCCCCCAAGGCAGGTTAGCAATCACTCAAAAAAAGTGACGACATTGTCTTTTGCCTGTAGCCAGGAGTCCGAGTCCCGGCCCTCCACTGCTGTCCGTCGCGCGCGTTTCCCAGGTCCCGCTGTCGGTCGAATGCCGCTGAGTCGCAGGGGTGCCCCAAATGAACTCCAGTTGGACCTGGAGGCCCAGCACGTCCACGCGGAGGCCCACGCGTAACCGTGGGCTCGAGCCAGGCATGGCCCAATGGTAAGACGATGGCAGGACACACAACTTTTGGGGTAAGAGATAAACTTCACATAGAAAGCCCACAGAATCAGAACCCCCACTAGAAACCCTTCCCCAAGCAAGCCTGTTGGTTTGGATGTCGGTTTCACAAAGCACAAGGTCGATGAGAATCCTCAACAAGTGGTTAATTTCATGCTGCCCCGATTCCATGCTGATCAGTACAACCGTGGATGATGATGCTTCATACAAGTACAGGGCTCTACCAAACAATACAACAACATTTTACTACAGATGGTTACAATGAATAGGAATAGGGTAGATCCAAATCATACCCTATGTTTCGTTTGGCTTTGTTGAAGGTGATGAAGAACACCCCACAGTCATGTGCTCAGAACGCCCTGAACGGTACAGGACAACATTGGCTCCTTCCCCGGGCAAAAGCCCTAGGACTTGGGCAGTACCCGCGTTCTTTTGTTCCATTGTGTCAATAGCGTCAGTGCCTCTGGTGATAGACATTGAAAGCAGCAGCATCCCATCCGGGCATTCCTGCCCCACTGCAGAAGCCGGCCGAGCAACTCCCGCGCGGATCTGCACCAGCACGTTCCCCACCTGGGCGAAGAAGCTTCTCTGGAGGAAGTGTCCGATTTCCAGACCATGCCATCCGACTGGAATAGTTACGATGGGTTTGTATTGGAATAGGGAACCCCCCCTGGAAGAGGACAATTGGCCAAACCCCCCCTGGTTGCGTGATCCACTAATAAAATACAAACCCATCTATCTATATATATATACATAATTCTATGTAGTATATAATTCTCTATATATACTAGGTGATGGAACCAGGATCCGCCCCTCAAAGAGCGGGGGAATGTCGGATGAATCTCTATGACTATACACCGTCTTGTGGGTAGGGCTACAAGAGTGAGATTGTACAAACCATTACAAACACATGAACTGCCCATTTTCTGTGCTCTTGTCCCACCCTACTTTGATCAGCTTTCTCCAACCTACACACGACTGCACCTTGAGGGCTTTACCACCTAAGCTGCCTACCAACCCTGTCAAGCACAGATCTCGCCGCTTGACCCGCTCTGGGACTCCCAGGCCAAATGGATCCAGCCTGCATGCAGCATCGTAGCCTCAGGCGAAGAAGGACGAAAACCCACCGGCCACCCCCAGAAACCACATGGGTTCCGTAAGAGTCCACATGACTCATTTTACCTCTATGGTAGTGGTGGATTGTGACTTCCAGGTGGGAAAATGAGTCCTTGGAAGTTCTGCGATAGTGGGATGGATATTTTGAGGTGGTCCTTCCCGAATAGAACCCTTCCTGCAACAGCTCGATCTCAATCATTGCATTTGAGGGTTTTAAGTACCTACTGAGCTTCGGTCAATCCCCATTCCCAGCTGAAGAACACGCCTGAGGATGGAAACCTGAAGGGTGAAAGCCTGCAAGGGTGCTCCTTCTGGATTTCACCAGCTGCCTCTGGGGGGCAACGACCTGATTATCATATGTGTGTGTATTTTGAAAGGCGGACACTCAACTGCAAATGATGGCTGTTGATGTGAATTAAATTGGAAACAGAAAAATACAAATTTACTGACTGGCAAACGACAACAAACTGAACCCAACAGTGGCTATCATGACAGGTATATATTTACTTCGTCGTCCATGGTGACTGAACGTGCCAACATCTGATCTTCAAATTGTCTGATGAGTGGTTGCTTCCACAATTCGCTGGTACATACCTCAGTTACATCCCATCACCAGGTTTGCTGGACGATGGTTGCTAAGAGATTGATACGTAAACACTGTGAGCAATTTGCAAGCCGCAGTAGCAGCTGGCCGCTGGCCAGAAAGGGTATGCACTTGTTCGCTTACTTGCAGGTGCATGTTGTTTTCCTTCTGCTCTTTGTTGTGTTCCTTTCCAACAAACGCAACAACCAGTCCAAAAGTTCCAACAATGTAACATCCGGGCAGCATAATCAGCAACACAAAGGCAGTCAAACTTAGACAAACACCTCCCTCTACGGGCCTTCACTTGCAGCCTGTGGCTGGCTTGGCCTAGATTGGAGTAAACGGTCTTTACCTAGATTGAGAACTGAACAGTGTTCACTCGAGCCTATCTCTTAACGAAGCGTCTGGGACCCGTCCAGCGGACGGACGAAGTCGGTCACTCTGAGGCATCGGCCGAGGCCAAGCGCCACACCTCGCCACGGGCGATCTTTGCCTCGACGGCGCATCACGCTCGGGCGCGCAACACGCCGAGTCGAGGCGACCGAGAAGCGCGGTGTACACGGCGTCTCCTGAGGTAATTTTGGAATGGTTTTGGGGGAAAACAAATGGGTTATAAGGGATTCACCTCTTGGCTGTTCACTTAGCTGTGAGCCACTTCCGTCTTATAGATCCACATTAATTACTGTCAATCTACGGGCGATAGTAAAAGGCCGTCTATGACAACGACTGGCAGAAGATCAAACACAAACATAGCTCCTCACGTGTGAACAGGAACAAACTGTTACACAAACTGACAAATGAAATTCTGAATGAACCGCGAAGCCGAAATAAAGGGCACTATTTGTTGCTTGGAAGGCATTTTGAGCTCCTATATACACGTTGGACCATTTTGGGATAGTGGTATGTCCTTTGTTCCAGTTGGGATTCCCAAATTTACTTACAAATAATTAATGCACAGGCCAGGAAGGTTCTGATACAACAGGCCTAAAGTGTGTGTGACCGCGGAACATGCTTGTACTTCACTGTAGTTTGACGGAGGCAAACATGATTGACACACTTTTCGAACTCCACCTGTGCATCCAATTGAGTTAACCAGAGTTGCCGGGCGAACCCAACAATCAACTGTATTCCCCCGAGGGTACCTTGCATTTAACACATTTAACACATGCATTGTTCAAACGGAGCATTCTCAAATTGACACCCGCACTTTGAGCGCTAATTCCCACAAAATGCATGCACATTTAAAGGTTGAAGGCTATATGTGTCAAGACTTTTTTGGATGCCTTGAGTTTCCATTTGCTTGCAGCAGTGGCTTGAGCATGTGAGGGAGTTGTCGAAGGTTCAACAGCTCATAGAGAGAGGACAATTTGGTATTGGCCAGTCTTACAAACTCCTACGAGAGGCAACAGCTTTCAAGGGGGAGTCCTTGTCCACCTGGTTTAGTATATAAGCAGCCAGGAAGGACATATTGTATGTTCACGTTTGTTGTGTGTTCTTTGAGTTCGTTTGCTGTGGGAAGACAGGGTTCCCAAAAATCATGTGAGCCGTTTTTTGCACAGCGTTGTAGTGCTTTTTGCTTTGACAATTGTTTCTGCATCGGAGGCGCGGTCTGTTGGAGCTGGGCTGGAGTGTAGAGATGCGCTATCACCATGCCAAATTGCCAAAGGCGATCTTGCACTGAGCTGTACAGCGCTGGTCCGTCTTTAACCAGTTTGTGGTCACAATAGCCGTTCTCGCTTGGGCTTCTCTTACATGATCTTACATGGGCCCAAATGCTCCAAAGCCACTTCAAGTCCTTCGGTGTACAGGGTGGACGAAGCTGCCCAGGAAAACCGGGGATGCATCGAGAAACGCGTGTCCCACTTTCGGCGTGATTCTCGAACATCAGGAAACAGCTCGACGAATTCCATCCAGAATTTCAGGAATCTCTTTCTGGCCTTCCGTCACTTGGGAGAAGTGCGGAGAGCACTGGGTTCTGGCCACAGGCGTCCACGCTGCTGCCATTAGGAGTCAGCATATGTTGGCCGGCCCCAACAGGTACGTCGACGTTGTTGGTGAGCCCGGTGAGCTTCCATGTCCATCACATCATTGCCCAAATGTCTGGCTGATTTTCTCAGCCCCACACAACCAGGACGTCCCAACTGTCCCAACGACTGTCTACACCGCCGGGCAAAGGGCAGAGTTGGTCCTTGCGATAGGCTTTAAAGTGCCTGCAGATGCCTGCATTTGGCATGCTTGAAACGCTTGATTCTTGATATCATCATGCTAGGGGCTACCGGTTCCTTGTATTTGGAATAGAGTGCTTGGCGCGAACATGTAGCCAAAGGGCCTCAGGGCGCTGGTTTGGTTTGGCGTGTCAAGCACGTCAAGGGCGATTCGCGGTGATGGGTACCGATCTATCCTTCCCTCGTGTGATCAGTACATGGCATCCTGGCAGATCCAGCATCATGCCTTTATTCCATACTTGAAACCGGGCACACACAAATAACATCAAATAAACACCAATTGAATTGCTTGTGTCTCACACCCCCTCTTTCCTGACTGCTCATCCCAAACCAATCCACGTTCAAGCGTTCAAGCGTTCGCATCCATCACCGGTCCTTCCATGTCCTTCCCACACCCACGGCCCTTTGACGGTCGGCGTTGCTCGGTCCGTGTTTCACTCCACCCAGGTGCCGCGTTCTTGGCGCCCGCGGCGTCGAGGCGATGGTAGTGAGGGCCCAGCATGGGATTCATCTGGCGGGGTCGAGGGCCAGAGGCGTGGACCAGCTGGGCTTTGCAGAACATTCCAAAGTGGGGATGATTCTCAACTGCTTGGCTTTTGGTGGTCGGGATCCATACGGAAATTCAAGGGTGACTACTGTAGTAGACTAGCATCTTGAAAACAGCTTGGGGAGGCTATACCAATATGTTTCAGTAAAAGGATCCTTTTGAGTTGAGTTGAACTGAACCTATCCAGTACAGGCTTTAGGAGGCCTCCCGGTATGTACATAATTAATAATCTCACGCCGGGAAAACCACCCGGCAGAGTTGGAAGCTGGAGATCCTTGTGTTGTCTTTTCTGGAGTCTGCTGAAGTCTTCAAGGAGGTTGAATGAGCTTAGCTGCCTAGAATGCCAAACAAATGCTCTTGCCCGCGTCAAAACGCAAAGAAACGACAGACGTATTTGGCATTGGCCCTCAAAAAAGTTTACCCCGCTCCTTGGCTCGCAATCCACCAAGGCCCAGCTGTATGGTCTCTGAAAGTGTTTCCCGACATACACAGCATCACACAGCATGGGATTTCATGTTTGCCAGGCGAGCGACCGCGTGGTGTGCCTCGCTCGCCTTGCCTTCTTCCTCAGGAGAGCAAAAAAATCAAAAAACAGTCCTACCTCTTAGTGTAGCCTTGAAACCTCAAAGGATGCGGGACCTACACGGGCACAAAAGGGTCTCTTTTATCTCTGCTTGCCACCCTCCAACAAATTTGGAAGTGCATAACAAGACCCCTTGTAAGACGTTTATTCTCGAACATTCAAAAACTCCTACCAAATTGACTTGGGGAGGGCGTCTCATCATTGCCATGAGTCCCACCCCCACCTGGAGAAACGAGCAGTGTTTCCACTCACAGCATTGACCTGGTTGAAAAACCGCCGCCGCCGCCACGGGTTTGGAGCTCTCACGTCACCTCGTAAGACACGAAACCACCATCCAGGATGATCGTCACAATGAGGATCAAGACCTGGATATCTGCGGAATCCGACCAGGTTTAACACCTAGTCCGCCAACTGGTCGACAGCTATTTGAGGGCTCTTCCACTCCCAGCCCAAACGAATGGGACTGGAACAGGCGCCATAGATTTACCCCATCCAAGTGACCCTCATGTAAGTGACTGTGCCAGTCATATGGGCGGTCTGGGAATAGCCAGTAGACCCAGTTGGACTGGAATATTTATCCGATTAACTGACCATTTCGATGAAAACTGTTGTTACAATCCCAGTTTCTGAAGGTCCATGTGAGATGTCCTCCATCTGATATTTATGTAGGATGGTACGGGATGTTTTTGTTCAACTATAGTCTCATGCGACGTGCCCAACCAAAATTATATTGAGATTCTTGGGCGGTGAGTTCATGGGCGCTCCAAACGATAAGGTGAGTTAGGAGAGGCAAAAAAAACAATCATGCCGCCAGGTGATTCCATGTTTGTTCATTGGGTGTTTCTTGTTAGTGACAATTTTCAGATTGGTGGACGAATCTGCTCAGCCAGTCAATCCAAACTTGACCCTTGTATGAGCTGGATTGGGCTCGGGCACCACGTCTTTTTGGCGCTGTGTCACGCTCGGCTTTCAAGTGTTGCTAGCAAGGTCACCAAAGGATGGAAGGAAGGTAAAAACGGTCTGGCAATGCGGAGTAGCTCTCGAATTCGAGAATCCTGTTTTTGTTGTACACTGTTAGCCAGCCAATCAATGGTAAAACCTTCCAAACATTTGAAGCATACCGTATGGCAGCCTCTCTCGCAATGAACACCATCAACCATGGTTTCTTCGCACTTGTCACATCGCGTTGGCTGTTCATTAGATGGATAGTACCTCCGCCAGGCAGTGCCACACTGTCTTGGTCTTGTTCTTCCGAAATCTCTTAATCGACTCTGCTCGAGTACTTCCTGCAACCTTTTGCCGGAAGCTGTGGCCTTCCGCTCTACATTCGTTTCAAGAAGTTTTCGACCAAAGCGGCGGAGTGCAATTTCACTTGAGAACTGGAAGTGATCATTCGGATCACATGAATGGAGATCATTGGCAAGCTGTTCGATCACAGAAACAATGTGGTGCTCCGCGCTTGCACGTGCAAGCTTCGCTTCTTTCAAAACATATTCTGCCTCTGCTTTTGCCTCTGCAGCATCGTTTGCTCTTTCTTCTGCATCCGTTGCACGTTGCTCAAAAACGTTGACTTTCTCCTGTGCAGTTATCTTTGCTTGCTCCGCATCTGCCACTCTTTGTTCTGCATCTGCAACACGTAGCTCTAAAGCTTTGGCTTTCTCCTGTGCAGTTACCTTTGCTTGCTCCGCATCTGCCACTCTTTGTTCTGCTTCTGCAACACGTAGCTCAAGAGCTTTGGCTTTCTCCTGTGCAGTTTCCTTTGCTTGCTCCATATCTGCCACTTTTTGTTCTGCATCTGCAACACATTGCTCAAAAGCTTTGGCTTTCTCCTGTGCAGTTGCCTTTGCCTGCTCCGCATCTGCAGCCTGCTGCTTGGCATTTGTAAACGAGTCTACCCACGGTGCTCTCAAATCAGACAGTAACTTTTGCTTTGCATCTTGCGCTGAGCGCAAATAGTCATCCACCGTGTTTGCTGACCCACATGGAACCTTCCACAAGGAAATCAAGCGAGCACATGCCCTCAGGTCGTCGCTTAACGCTTTCAGCTGCTGCAACCGCACATCGCAAGTCCTTAACTTGTTGCATGTGTCAAGGTCCACGAACCAGTCGTAGCGCATGTTCAGATTGGTGAACTCGGCACTCAGTTCCACAGCCTGCCTGCCCCTTGTAGCAGCCTTCATCTTGGCGTTCAAGTTCTCTGAAAGCTCAAACACATTGAAAGGAGTGTTGGCACCCAGAAGCTCTTGCAAAGCGGCTGTGAATGGGCTTTTGCTGCTTTCGCTGGACCCATCATCGCTTTGACCACCTGACATGCAAGAGTAAATCATCACTTGCTGACGCTCACGCAAGTTCTTGCGAAGCTTCACCCTTCGAGGCAAATGCATCTTGGCTTCACATTGCTCCCGGCAGGCATCCCAAAATAGGATGACGCCGACATCCTTCACAGGATCAGCCGGTGACTGTGATTGCCGCACCAGCTCATCCAACCGTCTGTTCAGTCGTCCAATGTACTCATCGACGTACACCTCAGTATTGTCAGGCAGCTTCAAAACCAGGTGGCCATCTTTCTCTTCACCGTGACATGCCACATGCAGGATGACTGCATAGGTCCTGGTGTGCAAAGACTGCAAGAAGTCTTCAAACAACTTGTCTAACACACTCCCTCCCACATCCTTAGCAGAGCTGACTGTGTATCCTAGGTCCGTGAACGTCTTCTCCAAAGCATTTGCATCGTTCATGGTGTTTGGCAACTCCTTCATGGTTTGGTACGAGGACATTGCGATGGAAAACATTTGCCGTGAAGTCGCGTCAAGTTCCCTTTCGGGGTCTGGATCGGTTGCTTGAGGATCCGTTGAGTCCATAGACCACACATTGGACTCATCTTGGTGCCCATGCTCATACAAAGGACTCTTGGCAGACTTGGAACCATAGTTTGATGCACCAAAGCCTGGGAATCTGTAGTCTTGCAAAGATCTGGCAGGGGATTTGGAGGCTCAGGCACCTGTGCTCTGCAATGTCTCCCTGCCGGACATCTAGGGGAAACGTCTTGCGAGTTCAGAAGCACATCCTCGAATGGTGCAACTGTGGCTGCTGACATATCTTGAGAAAAAGCCAAACGGCCGAAGCTCTGAAGTGCAAACACTGGACGTGTGCAAATGGCATCCGTGATCCTCTTTTGTGGCTGCTTGAACTTTTCATAGAGGGACACAGTCACTGAGGTTGCTCCGATTGTCAGGTCATGAAGGGAACCCTGTAACCATGTGCCCAAGCTGTCCCGATTTTCATGATCTGGCTGATGAAGTGCATCTCCTGCAAATTGGTAGCCTGTTTCTGCTGAATCCACGCTCTGGCAAAGGTCTGGCAAGGGATTTGGAGAGCTAGGACTCACGGCACAATGAGACCTCGGAAGGGGATCTCTCGGCTGGACGTCCTGCAAGTCCAAAAACACATCTTCCAACCGTCTGGTTTTGGCTTCTCTCATACTTTGACGGAGTGCCAAACGCCCCAGGCTGTCACCTAAGCTCTCGAGTGCACCCATCGGACGTGAACAAATGGCATCGGTCAGCCTCTTTTGTGGATCCTGGAATCTTTGATGCCACGCCATCGCCATCGAGAGGATGCTGTCGGAAGGCGCTGTGCCGCTACGCAAGCGCTATGACTCTCCCGAGGTTGTTGAACAAGCTCTTCTTTCTGTGCTTTGTGCTTTGAGGGTCATGCATCTTCATCGGGGAATTGACCAAAAACATGTCAAAGGACCTGGTGTCTCAACATATCTGTGGGTGGGTCAAGACTTATTATTGTGTTTTTTTTGTGTAGAACTCTACTCAAGACATCCACCAGCAAACTGTAATTGTTCTCAAGCATCCCGCACGTCAAATCGCAGCATTAGTTCAGGCCAAAACAAACTGACACATTGTTTCAACACAATTCGACAAAGCCAACCTAGCACGTGTTCAAACTACTCCTCCAGACTTCGATGACTAAACACATCTCTACTAATTCTCAGCTATGTACTCCCAGTATGTAGATCTTAGTGCTTCCTCTGCCTCCGAGCTTTCTCTTCTGTCTTGGCACACCTTTGGTGCCATCAGCTGCGATATCAAGGCTCGGCACGCTGGCAAAAGTTGCTGCTCCAACGAGGCACACAAGGAAGATGGTCCAGTTTCTGAGTATTTCTCTACAGCAGTTTCTCACACCATGACTACCCCCTTCTAGAGATGATTAAACATCATTACCTCATCAGTGTTAGTCTCAGTGGCGGCATGTTGGATCGATTTCATTCGCTCCTGGATGCGCGGACGTGGATTCGCACCCGAAGCTGTCGTACCCAACAGGGGATGGGACATGACCCGGGAGAAACATGGCAGGGACTTGGGTTTAATGATGCCCCGTGCTTTTGGGTTCTTGGATTCCAATTACTCATCTGTAATTATGTATATACTTGAAAACTCCAAGACCTCTTTCGCCCAATCATGATTTTCTGAGGTAAGTATCTTGGCAATGTCAACTCATTTCCAGAGTAGGTGTCAGGAGTCAACTGTTTGATCTGCAAACCAGCAGAGTAACCCATAGTAGTCAGTTCACACTCAATCTTCCACGGGAGCTCTAAGGAATTTCCATGAAATTCTTGGCTCCCAAACATCACCACCAGACCTCCTGCGGTCGAACAAGAGCCACCCGAGAGTGACGACTCAAGAGCCTGCACCACGGAGAGAAGAAAGGCCACCCTGGGGCGGATTGGCAAAAAACCGCAAGGATTCGAGGATTGGCAGCGCGGTTTGTCACTGGCAGCTTGCCACTCAGCTTGCCTCTCAAACAGGAACCAAGACTTGGTGCCGTTTCGCTTGGTTGGCTCAAAGCCCATAATAAAACCGCATGTGACTCTCATAATCCTCGTAGGAGCTGAGTTTGTGAATCACCAGGGTGAACGAAAAGTAATGCTGGGGAAGCTCTGCTAGAAGTTCTCCAAAACTGACCCCCGATGCCCGGAGATTGGATTATGAGATTCTCTTGGGCCAAGGCCCACCTGCAACCATGTCCTAACACCATCCAGGGGACTGGCCCATTGAACCAACGAAAACAACAGCTGTTTATAACGAATACGAGATAATACGAGTGCATTTTGTTGTATCTTTAACTCATCCCAAAATGCAATGACCAAAGCCAGTTCTGCCTGTATGCTGCCCTGGCAACATTCCATGTGAGGTGGACCAAGGGGTGTACTCTAAAGTTCCCTCTCTTTTTAACTCTCTTCTCTGCAGGGGCCCCTTTCAGGTAGGACGGTTCTCGATCTTACCGTGTCTCCTGTCTCTTATTGTTTTTCGTTTTTATTTAACGGTATCGTGTTTTGGTCACCTGTTGACTTGATGTGTGTGTTGCTCCTAGTTGAAGGTTGGTTCAACAGGAGAAGCAGCTGAGGACAAGTCCGGACAATGCAGAACCTCCTTTTGTTCTACTATGTTCTACTCATTTTGCAAAACAAAAAGTTCTATGTTTTCTTTTATGTGCTTTCCCACTTGCTACGGATTCATAAACGCCCAACTGCAAACAAGTCTCAGTCTTAACTGTTGTTCGGACTGAATTGCATAATTTCCCCAGGCTCAAACAAGGAACCAACTACCGAGCGAACCCCTATTTCGATTCGTAAAGAACCCTGCCAGGGGTGGCATGTAATAGACCTCATTTGGGAGCTGAGGTTCAATCAGGCGAGCGGAAAACTCACGTCGCCGCTCATGTATCTTGGATACGGCGATTGACGCATCTCTTTTTATCATTACATATATAATAGATATTAATAGATCATAATGGAGAGATCATATATTACATATATAGATCATTAATAGATCTATATTACATATAGACATGGAGAGATCATAATAGTCTCTCCATGTCTCTCTAGTCAGGAAGTCTCACCCCGACCTGGCACCTCCGAGCGAGCCGACTCTCCGATGAAAGTCGACGCCCGGTGCGTCGCGCAAGAAGCGTTTGGGAGCCCGAACGACAGCAAGAAGCGGCGCCAGGCGCGCTGGGCCTCGGGTGTCCTGCTGGAAGAGAGAGTTTTCGGTACCAGGTAGGTGATGAACGGTCTTCACGATGTGCTGGAACGGAGAGCATGGCCGATGTGAAAAAACTATCTGGATCAACAGCGAGCCTCTATTGGGATATTATACAATACCTTTATGTTGACCCTAGCCTTCAAAGACCACTATATAAAGAAATGGTTGACCTGGTTTCGTAGTGTAAAAATCCTTAGTAAAACAATTATTGTTCTTCAACGTTTCGGATCTTTAGGGTTTTTTCAGCATGAATTTACACTGCCTGACATCATCATGGAAGTGGACAACAGGCCCCACGAAGACCCGTTTTCCTCGGCAAACAGGTGCCAGCCACTTCCAAGTGAATGACTCGGAGAATGGGATCTCCTGGGTATTAGAATAATGGATCCCGGGAGAGAACACAGCCATTGAACAGGGATGAACAGGGAATATATGGCTGGACATACGACACGTCACTGGATCTCCGAAAACAACAATCGAGCAGAATTGCGAGCATGTTCACCGTGCTTAGCCTGTTGAAGTTGACCCAGTTCCGTTCGGAAAAGGAACCCCCCCAAACCCAAAGCGCTGTCCAACAACAAACCAACCTGAATCCCGCCTCATTACTCATGACGACTCGATTCAAAACTCATAGGAAACTCGTTGGAGAACCAAAATGCCCTCCAAGGTAGGTGCGACAGAATACACAAAACCATGCCGCTTCAATGTTCACATATCATCCTACCTTCTTTTAGAACTTGCTACTCGCCCCAAGCGCGCTCTCCATGTATATACCCCATGGCCAATGGGCACCGCTTCGTTTGGCCAACACAATCCCATCCGGGAACCACAAGAAACGTGTCTGTTCAAAAAAATGGAGACACAGAGATGGGAGATGATGCTTAGTTCGAGTTTCAATGTGAGTCATCTTGAAGTTTGTACCAAGCCGGCTTCGTTTTGCCAGCCTTGTTTGTTCCAAGACCATTCACGTTTGGTCAGGAGTTTGTACAGGACCGGATCCTTCGCCCAGCCATTTTCGGCAGAAGCCACTGCGGCAAGCCGCACCTGGATCAGGTCTCCTGATCCATTTGTGCCAATGACCGGGGACCGGGATAAGGTTTTGACTCCTGAAAAATAGATCAATTCCTTTTATCACCAGGAGGTCAAGTTGCCATGATTGGGCCAAAAATTGACAAAACACTTCAAGTTGCGCCCGGAAGTTTTTCTTCGTCCTGCAGCCCACCATGCAGCAAGGGCAACAGGCGAAGCAGCATTTCACGCCAGGAGATGGTTTCTGGCGGCCAAAACAGGATGGCAGAAACCGACCGCTTGACCAAGTGGGGTGAGTGCCCCCCCCCTGCGAAGCACAGCGCGATGGTTTGTTCGGATTCAACATGGCCGTGACGGAAATGTTTCTCAGATGCTCCATGAAACTGGAACATATGCCGTCACATTGACCCCTTTTCAACCGCCCCAGTGTAAAATTTTCCATACATGGTCACATACTGTTGCATGGAGGTTCTGGGCTTTGGGTTCCAATGTTTCCACCGTGAACGGCCAAGCCCGGGCCTTGGCCTTCGACGGAAGCCACCCACTGATCGGATTTGGAGAAGGAACACCCCGGTTTCATTATAGCGAGGTTTGATTTCAACATTGTGCTGTGAAATCTTTTCGAACTCTGCAGTGGCCAACATGAACCTTCTACTGTCAAGGCACTTAGGTGCCAACATGTTTGTGGGTCCGAAATTGTTGCATGGATTCGAGAAACAGGGTCGTCTATATTATAATGGATATGGTTGTGGAATCGGTGCCGCTGGTGTCCTGCTCTACGATCTTGCCTTGGCCACATGTCTCCAAAGGGGTACGCGTGACTACACCTTCCACCGAGTGTCCAATGGAGACCCAGAAACAAGGTAAAATCATCGTCTTTCTGAATAACACCAACGCAACTACTGAACTCGCCACATCCGTGAACAGTGAACAAATCTGCGCAGCACAGCAACTACGGCTACTGGGTGGAGGGGTTTGCCTTGAAAGTGGAGTAAGGCGCCTAATTGATAGGGATCTTAGCTCACGAGTCATATTTGTTTATTTGATGCAAGCACCAGATAGATGAATAACCCCCGCCCCTTACATCCCCTTACAACGTCAACGAGGTCTGAGGAACCATTCATGACGTTAATCCCCTAAACAATAATTGCTAAAACAAAAAAATGGAACAATATAAGCCATCGAACCATGAAGGTTAAGGTCTGAGGGGGAATGAACATGACACGCATGAGACCAGGGTTGATATTAGGAAACAATATGACTAACAAACCTCTTCTAGCTATTTCAATGAAACATATTTGTTTGGTTGCGTGGTTTGGGTTCCTGGATCTATTTAACACCTACAAGCCTATGCAGTGTTAAAGTTCAACACCAAATTATATCAAATCTATTTCAATCTGGGCGGGTTCTGGAACTGCTTCGATCTAACTAACTGGGGTTTATTTCTCCTAAGCTTGCAATATCGTGATACTGGCGCAAACAAAAGCACAACGCGAAACGTGGGCGTTGCACTGCGGAGGATTGTCAACAACGATTCTAGTTATAAAGAGGCAGGTGATGCCATCACACAATGTGACTGGCCAGGCTTTGAGAGTTGGCGACAGGCTACTTCAGGGCAAACGGCCCTGAGTCTTGACTTTTGAGCCTTAACTGTTGTATGAGCGCATCCTGGCGGAACCATTAGTTACACACTTGTTGCACGCTTTGCTTTACAGAGGTTGCCCACGCAACATGGAACATTATGAGATGTGCGAAGTCATCTGCGAGGGTGGTCTGTGAATCTCCAAGTTAAAATAGTTCTACGGCGATCATTGAGATGGCAAGAAAACTTCAGAGCATGTCTGCTTCAAACGGCGTGCAAGGTCCAAAACAGGTCACAAAAAAAGGCCCTTGAACGGCCATGATTCATGACGGGACTTCATCAGTCCTTCAGCAAGGAGATCGGCAACAAATGCAAAACAAGACAAATATGACAAATAAGTGAACGTAGACGCACGAGGGCCTTGCATGGTCAGGAGTTCACCACTACAATGGCACAGCGGTGAAACATAAAAGGCCACTCATCACTAATCCCTTTTGCATCTGCCAATAAGGTTGCAAAAGCCACTGTTGCTAATATCTTGGTGATCTTGCCGCAAACTTTGCAAAGCAAGGAACACCGCGCTCCAACTTTGCATGTCAACTGCTGGAAGGCCCAGGTTTCTTCAGTTTGTGACCTGTTTGGAGTCTCTAAGTGACCTTTGTTGTGACCCCTGTCATGATTGGATCTCAAGTTCGGTCACTTTTGAATGACCTCACCAGCATGCGACCTCACCTCCATCACCCAAAGCGTCCCAAAGCGACGTTCGTCCGAACGCCCGGATCTCCCGAGGGTTCTCCGGATCTTCCGAGAGGACATCGCTTACCGCCTCCCGCAGCTCGCCTCCCGCACGATTTCACCCCACCTGAGGGAAACGACGTCGAGTTTTTCTCCGTCAAATGCAGCTGCCGAGGTATCGAGGTATACAAGTGCCATATCGAGGTATGCGTCTGGGATTTGCAGGAACATGTCCGCTTTCAGGAACGTGAATAAAGGGTCTTCATGTGGATGTCCTTGTGTAAATATGCATGATAAACCAAAAGGACACAAAGTCTGCTTATAAATTCAAGCTGAACCAAAGGGTCAACCCCCAAAACCACCACCTGAATTCCCCTGGCTCTAAATCCCCCCCACCCTGCCACCATCTCTCACCCCGGTTGAACCGCTCACTCTGCTCGTAGGGAGCCGCGCACGGGGTCCACCATGGCATACTGCACCGGGACGCGGACCTCCACCGGCGCCTGGGCAACGAGTCTGTCAGTGATTGAAGGGGAAGGTTCTCAACCGCTCCAGTCGTGCCGAACCTCAGGTTCGGTATGACTGGACCCGAACATGGCACCCAGGCGCCCCCAGTCTCACCTTCTCAGCAGGTACGACTGGAGCCCTAGGTTCTCAACTGACGCTGTGCTTCATCCCATGGGAACACTGCGTCGGATGGGTTGATGGGTGGCAGGCCGTTCCAGAAACCCCCGGTGCCAGGGGGTTCTCAACTGACATGGGGTGTGGATCTGTGGATCATGGCACGAGGCGCCATGGCACGAACTAGCTGGATTTGTTCTGGTCATTCGTCGGTTCTGTTCATTTTCGGTTGGGAAAAATGGAAAAACCTGGTGCCATGACCCACAGCCCACATGGCTGAATTTGAAGGGGATTTGAAGGAGTAGACTGACATTGAGCTCATGTTGGCAAAGGATCGCACCTCACCAATCACCTAAAATCATCCTTCGCGGCCGAATCCACTGGAAGCCCTTGACCACCGCCCACCCAACAACTGGAAAGAAGTCTAACTCTTTTGGATGATTCAAATGACTGGTCCTTAGTCAGGAATGCGGGTGCCTCGGTCCGAAGTGTATCTATCGTCGATATTATTCTTTCCGAATCGAGCCGCACTAGTCCATCAGGCGCCAGCAAAGACCAAGTGTCTATAGGTGATCAGTATCTCGTCACTCTCTTCACTCCCTCCCCACGCCACTCGAAACCGGCGACCCTCTTCCTCGAAACCACTGGCGACCGTCTTGCGTTGCCAGACACATCGCCTGTGGGCTTTGTAGTTCCGCTGCCTGGCGGAAACACAAAACGAAGTTCAGGCCATGAATCAAAGCAGCAGCACGGGTCCGCACCCTCTCAAGATGGATATTGGATGGCAAACCGCTAGTGGGAGGGTCTATAAGAGTCTAAGAGTCTGTAAACCACCCATGTAGTGGGTGGTGCTGGCATAGCAAACCTATGGCGGGTGTCGAAAGAGCTTACATATATAGTTGATTTGTTCACGAGTGTGGGTAAATCCAAAGGGAATAGTTTTTTTCTTTATGCTAACGGTTCCTTTTTTTTTATGCTGGATTTGGGTGGGTTCTTTTATTTATGCTAAGGGTCTTTTTTTTATGCTGATGGTTTTTATTTTTATGCTGAGGGTTTTTATTTTTATGCTGAGGGTTTCTATTTTTATGCTGAGGGTTTTTAATTTTATGCTAACGAATGTAATTGTCGCGGGGCTTTATTGAAAAATGTAATTGTCGCGGGGCTTTAGTGGAGAATGTAATTGTCGCGGGGCTTAGTGAGAATGTAATTGTCGCGGGGCTTTATTGGAAGGGCGGCGGCTCACCTGCGCACACAGATTTGACTCATCTGCGCACACACATTTTGTTAGCACTTGCGCCTCATCTGCGCACACAGATTTGACTCACGCGCGCACACAGTCCATCGGGGAGACTCAAGTGCGCACAAAGGCCCTTTCCCGCATGTTTGCTCACATGAAAGGGTCGTCAAGATGGAATGGCCACTTCCTCCTCTAAACTTTACCCCTCCACTGGCTCACCAAAGGGTGCAACTTGGAATGACCACTTCCTTCTCTAAATTTTACCCCTGCCTTGCCCACAAAAGGGTGAGTCAAGTTGAAATGCAACATCCTTCTCTAAATTTTACCCTCGGGTGGCTCACCAAAGGGT